AGACAGACAGAAAGGACGGGGAGGACAGACAGACAGACAGTATGACGGGCGGAGGACAGACAGACAGACAGACAGACAGACAAACAAACAGACAGACAGACAGACAGACAGGAGGGGGAAGACAGACAGACAGACAGTACCACGAGAGGGGTAGGAGGGGTAGGAGGAGGGGTAGGAGGAGGAGGAGGAGACAGACAGACAGACAGACAGACAGATGGGCGGAGGACAGACAGACAGACAGACAGACGGGCGGAGGACAGACAGACAGACAGACAGACAGAAGGGGGAGGACTGACAGACAGACTGACAGACAGACAGAAAGGAGGGGGAGAACAGATAGACAGACAGTACCACGGGAGGGGTAGGAGGAGGGGTAGGAGGAGGAGGAGGAGGGGTAGGAGGATGGGTAGGAGGAGGAGGAGGACGAAGATCATGATTGGGAGGAGGAGGACGAGATATGTCACTAAATACTGACTATAATATATGCATTATATATATGTGTTAAAAAAACAAAAAAAAAAACAAAAAAAAAACCGCGTATGCGTATGCTGGTTTTTGGGCACGTACGCGTACGCACGCATACGTACGCGTATGTATACGCGTACGTGGTGCTACCCAGGTTTATTGTAACATCTATTCTGACTTGCCGGTGGAATAGGAACTGGACTGTCGCTCCCCAGAATGGAAAGGAGCCAGGACCAAAAGGCCCCCTTTTTAAAAAAAAAAAAAAAAAAAAAAAAAAAAAAAGCAGAAGCAGACAAAGCAGCAGAAGCACAAGGAGCAGAAGCAGAAGCCGAAGAAACAGAAGCCGCAGAAGCAGAAGCAGAAGCAGAAGCAGAAGCGGAAGCAGAAGCAGCAGCAGCAGCAGCAGCAGCAGCAGAAGACGAAGAAGAAGAAGAAGTGGGAATGAGAAAGGCAACTCTTATATCCCAGTCGTTGTTTACCATATTTTGGGGACCACAGTGTGCATGCATACATTGTGTCTTAAGACCTATCCCAGAAGTTGGAGGAGCACCGTCTGCCTACAGGGCTACCACTACGGTCCCAATCCCATACGCTAAAGGATGATCACAGTGATGGTCCCCCGCTGTTGTGGCCCAGACTATGTGGGGAACCAATGTCACCACTGTCACAATCTTACCACTTGGCATATGAGATTGGGAAAGAAGCTAGGCTCTAACGCCGGGAGCACGGGCAAACCCAATCTCTGCTGGAAAGACCAGTGCTAATTCGGTGCACGCTTCAGTGGCCGTTGTGCTACGAACTAGTGCAAATTCAATCAGTCGTAATTGTTAGACCCGAAGAGTGGGCTTGGCAAACCTATATACCAAATTGAATTACGCCCCCTGAAGAGTTGGCAACCCTATACAAAATTGAATGGCAACCCCATACCAAATTGAATTAAGCCCCCCCGAAGAGTTGGCAACCCCATACCAAATTGAATAAAGCCCCCTGAAGAGTTGGCAACCTTATACCAAACTGAATTAAGCCACCCAAAGAGTTGGCTTGGCAACCCGATACCAAATTGAATTAAGCACCCCCAAAGAGTTACCAAATTGAATGGCAAGTTGGCAACCCTATACCAAGTTGAAATAAGCCCCCCGAATAGTTGGAAACCCTAGACCAAATTGAGTTGAGCCACCAGAATTTATGACCCTTTCTTTGCCAACCTGGGAGAGCACTGCGTGCCAAAACAAACAAACAAACGAAAAAAAAAAAAAAATTTAAAACCTACACTCAAAAAATGAAAAGTCGTTTGTTTGGCTGCGTGAGGAATTCTGATGTGACCATCAGCCAAAAGTCGTTTGTTTGGCTGCTTTGGCAATTGAAACTGCAATTTTCCACAAAAAAAAAAAAAAAAAAAAAAAAAAAAAAAAAAAAAAAACCTTAAAACAGGTTGTTTGTATTGCAATTCTAGTATTATTCTACACAACATATATGATATTTGAATTTTGAACATATTTCCTTTTTTTTTTTTTTTTTTTTTTGCGCTGGGACTGCCCGGGGGTCATGCCTGGCCTGTCACCCGGGTGTGTTTCCGGGCACAACTTGGGTGCCCGGGCGCCCGGGTAAACGGGCTAGCTTCCATCCAATTAATAATAATATTTAAGATTACCATATTAGGGAATTTTAAAAGGGGTTTGGAGCCTTACGCAAATCATTCATTCCATTCAACACCGATGAAGGCTAGCCCCCTAGTAATTAACATTGGTTCATTCTTTAAATTTGAGGGCAACTTTAGTCCCCTCCGCAAGGATGAAACGCATGAATAGACAAATAAATGGTCCACATAGAATCAAATTTCAGACAAAGAAAAGACGTCCCCGTCCTCGTCGTTTTGCGTTCACTGGGAAATGTGCATGTGGAATCAAAACACCCGCTGATACTGTTAGGAGTGGTGTTACGAGCTCCCACCCCTAGCAGATCAGCGGGTGACTTCTATCTACATTGCTGCGGAGAACCACCTGCTGGCACGGACCAGCATCCCTCATAATGGTCCCTCATAATTACCGGACTCATGAATAATGTAATACAGATCGTGAGGTACGCCGACTCATACCTCGGTTTCGCCATCCACTATTGCTCGATCCACATCCTTAAACTGACGCATATACACGTCATAAGGCGTCTTTGCCTCTTTTAGGTCTTCCTCGTATAAACCGACATGCGCGACTTCCGGTTCAGTGTATGTAACCCACGGCACGAGGAGGTTTGAAAATTTTTCCCTGCAAGGATGACCAGAAAGAGAAGAGCATATTATGCATATACATTAGGACAATATATAAGAGGAAAAGAAAGGTAAACAAATGGTTATACCCCAAAAAAAAACAAACAAACACAGGTATTACTTTCAGATGCACTTGGATGGCAAAGGAAAGAGAGAAAGCATAGAAATTGATTCAATTTCGAAAATTTTAAATTTTCGATACAAAATGGAGAAACTTTATAAAATTATAAGTTTAAACTTTAAACTTCATAGGAAATATATATATTTTTTTGTTACTCTTATTATTATAAGTTATAACCATTACTCATCATTAAATAATAATAATTAATTAATAATTAATAATTCCTGATAGTTATAAAGTTCATATAAACTAGATAATATCAGTTTGTAGACAGCATTTGTACTTGCCTTGTGTCCCCTGATTCCTGAATGGTACACGCATGAAACCAACTTCTACTGAACAGATCCTGAGTTCAACTCCCTGATTAATACGACAACAATGTTTCTGGTGCGAGAGCCTTAAAATGAGAAACAAACGGGCGAAAAAATAAAAGATAGTTTCTGGTGGAGGTAACAGAGCCCGCATTAAAAAAAAAACGGTTTAAAGTTTAAACTTTAAAAACCATTCTAGTACGTTGGGGTCTGCAACGAACGGCAAATCTCGTCCATTTGCCGGATGATGGATGCGGATTGGACGGTTTGCAGACAAGTACGACGTTTTCTGATCCAGAGGGGATGTAACTGATGATTTTTCCCCCCCCCCCCCCTCCCCTTAAAAATGTGAACTTTTAGAAGTCGCTTCGTGGCAGTCCCTCGTATAGTATAGGTGGCCAGGGCCGCAAGTGGCGCAAGGGCAAGGCTGATCTTCTTATCTTATCTACTCTTTCTTCCTTTTCCTCATGCTTGGGGGTAATAAGCGACTGGAGTGATGCCCCCCAGAAAAGAAGGGGCTTTGTGATTTTGGGAAAAAAAAAAAAGTCCCCTTTTGCTGAAAAACAGGTAAAAAAAAGCATCACTTGGTTATTTACAAACACAAAGCTCCGCTCCATTATGGCCGAGAAAACCTGAGACAGCGGGGCTCGGGGCGGGGGCGGGGG